CACACAAAGAACAAACGAGTCGGTAATCTGATAAGAGTCCAAAAATTGGAAACACAATGACAGTGCAGACTCATTGCAGTCGCGGATTTTGGATTCTTTGATTGACAAATCAACGTGCTTGCTGACAAGGTTCACGAGGAATGTCAGAATCAGTGATATCCTAGCCAATAGTCATTTGAGATTGAATTCTGCGCAAATTCCAGACTACTTTCCATTGCAGCTTTCACAAAAGTCAAGTATGTTGTGTGATCGATACAGACGCCATCTGAATAGCAACGATCAGCTTCCCCCAGCGAAATCCTCAAAATTTGGTGCATTTTATGTGCAGTATGGATAAACGCCAGACCATCCTGTTCGCTCAAGACTCTTCGAAGTAAGTGAGCGTTTACTGAACATGCTGCTGCCATCTCCAGAAATGGCCGGAAATGTTCTTGTCAAGGATGAGGTGGAAAATCTTTACATCACCAGTTCTCGATTTCGACAGAACGTGTAAATAGGATCCTGAACTGGCTCATCAACAACAATCCACTCTACAGAAATGTCCAGCACATTACCGATGATACCAATCTGCAGCAAAACGCAATTGTGCGGCAAGAGAGAGCGGAACAAGAAGAACTGTTTGAACTCGATGCTTACTTCAGGATCAATGATCATTCCCGACTGATTCGTACTTCATGGAACCAAGCTAATGCTGGTTTCTTGAATAATTCCTCAGCTGGAACACAATGAAGTGCCATGGAACTCTCATCAATTGTTGAGTCCAGCTTGTTTCCATCATCGATATGGAGCAATAACATCTACAACCAAGTGCTGATTGAAGGCAACAATTTGTACTAAATAATTAGAATGCTGGTCGCTATGCCCAACATCAACATACCAGAGTTCAGCTTCCTGGACGTAAAAAACTTCGATGTCATCCAGATCGACTTCATCATGTTCTACGACTTGTTCTCAATAGTGCATGATAATGCTCCATCAACTTTCATTAATCTGGATGACAAACGGAACATTCCTGAAATTGGCTTCAAGTTGCTGAACGGTTTGAAACAGCTGTTCAATCATCATGGTGCTGGAATTTTGATAGCAAACTGCAAATGCTATGCGGTGATCCAGAATAGTGACAAATATCATTTCTGTGATTCACATTCTCGTGGAGCAAAGGGAACAACATCAGCGAACAGACCAGAATAAATCAAATTAATCTACTGAATAAAAGTGAGTGGTTTACTTTCGATATTAGTTTAAATTTCTTTATGTAAGCCACCCACTTGATTCAAATTTTATCAATTCTGGGGTCAAAATAATTTATTTTCTACGTTTGAATGCAAATAAAAGTGTGTGCATTGAAAAACGAATTTTTTTTCCCTAATTTCATTTTTGTTGTTCTCTGTCCCCTGAATCGTGCCCGTTCTGTTGGAATATGTGCTGATGCCTACTTCATTGTGTGGTGAGTCTATAGGTGTCTGCGTGGTGAGTCTATGGGGTCTCTCTGATGAGTCTATGGATTTCAGTGTTGTGAGTCTATGGGTTTCTGCACGGTGATTATATGGGGTCACTCTGATGAGTCGATGGGTGTCTATGTGAGTCTGGGTCTCTGTATGGTGAGTCTATGGGTGTCAATGTGAGTCTATGGGTCTCTATATGGTGAGTCTATGGGTGTCTATGTGAGTCTGGGGGTCTCTCTGTGAAACTATGAAAGTGTCAATGCATGGGCTCGTTAACATGCACCGTGTAGCAGATAGTGTTTTCAGGTGTTGGTGGGTTGTGGTCATTGTAGTAATTCATCGCTTTGTTACAATGTCGCTTTGTTATGAAACGGTTTATGGGCAGCTCCACGAGGAGTTTATTTCTTTAGCCAGTTGAGAGTGAGATGGTGAGTGAATGTTTGAAATGGAGCACGAGCGAATTATTAGGTGAGTGAGTGGGTGGGTGAGGTGATTTGAAGGTGAGGTATGTGAGGGTGAGGTGAGTTGAGATGGTGGGGATGAGGTGAATTGAGATGAAGTGAGTTGAATTGAGGTGAGATGAGGTGTGTGAGAATGAGGTGACATGAGATGAGTTTACAAGAGGTTATTTGAGATTAGGTGAGTTGACATGAGGTTAGATGAGATGGAATTTGACCAGCAACCCCTGGCGCTGAGACGTCGGCACTTACCAGGGTGCGTCTTGTGACATGCATATGTGAGCGAGTGGGATTGTGCATGAGAGAGTGATATGGTGGTTGAGTGAGTGCGTGGGTGAGTGAATGAGTGAGTGGGTGAATAAGTTACTAAGACCCTGAGTGAGAGAATGAGTGAGCAAATGACTCAGATGGTGGGTGTCTGCATGATTTAATTAATGCCAGACTGAGTAAGTGGGTGAATTCGTTCCTGAGATTGTAGGTGGTTGAGTGAGATAGTGGTGAGTGATAAGTGAGTTGGTGGGTGAGTGAATGAGTGAATGAAGGGGTAATTGAGTGACAGAGATGGCGAGAGGGTGAAATAGTGAGGTGGTAGGAAAAGTGAGTGAGATGAAGAGTGAGTGAATGACGAAGTGAATGGATGAGTGGGTGAGATGGTGAGTAAATGAGTTGAGGACAAGGTGCCATGGTGTAGTTTGAGTCCCTGTCTCTTTGTGCCTCTTTCTCTCTGTACTCAATCCCGTTATTGATCCTTATTCCTCTTTGGACCCTCTACTGGATAAAGATTTCCTGTACATTGAACAGCACTGCCCATAGACTCAACACTGCCCATAGACTCAACACTGCCCATAGACTCAATGCTGCCCAAAGACTCAACACTGTTCATAGACTCTACACTGACCCTGCCCAAAGACTCAACACTTAATTCTAGATTTGAAGCTTTCGTGACTGCAAGGATTCATATTCTTAGGTTTTTTCGGTAAAGTCACGTAGGTAAAACATTAAAATTAATAAAAGTAAAGACTCAACACTGCCCAAAGACTCAACACTGTTCATAGACTCTACACTGACCCTGTACATGAAGCAGCCTCACTTCTTACCCTCTTTCTTTCTCTATAGTAAAGCCTGACCTCTTCTCCATTACCCTATCTCGTTGTCATGGATACAATATAACGTGGTTCACAGTGGTGTTCAATGATGGTACAATAGTCTGACTCGACGGGTTTCCGGTCCATTTGAAACTGAAATTATCTGGATGTGGCTAGGGGCCGGGTGACCAAAACCCATTGGCACCTTCCAGTATACAAGGGGGTTGACTGTTAGAGCAGCACCAGCAAAAGAAGCAGCACCAGCAAAAGAAGCAGCACCAGCGGGAGAAGCAGGAGCCACAGTGGAGGAGGCAGCGGCACCAGCGGGGGCAGCAGCAGCACCAGCAGCAGTGAGCTGAGCGTGCAAAGCATCTCCACCTGGGGTGGGAGCAAAGACCCACGGCCTGGTGTGAAGATCTGAAGGGAGAAGGCAGGACTCAAGATCAAGCCCACTGTAGGCCTCTTGGACTGATGCCTAAAACCGCGGTGCTGGTTTCCCGGTCCCGTGGATTGAATAAGTGGTACGGTTATTCAGGGATGTTCGCAGACTGTCTACAGTACATGTGGACAGTAGAGTTGGTTTTGGTGATGTGTGTGAAATGGTGAAACGCATAACGACCACCACTAATGAGATTGTGCGTGTGTGTGTATGTTGGGATTACACAGGGTCATAAGTGTGAGTGGGTTTAGATAGACCCGTGTGTCTGTGTTGAATTGTGTGTTCTGTGGGTGTTGGTGGGCCTTCACACATCTCACTCTACTGTCTGTAACCTGGCCTAAGCACAGAAGTAAACTTGCTTCATCGCTTAAAAGCCTGGTCCATGGATGCCGTTGCTTATTTCGCATTGTGGAGCCGACCGGCCTGCAAACGCTAGAGTTGGTTACCCACCGTCACACACTTGCTCTTCCCTCCCCCTACCCTTTCGTAATCTCTAAGTATCCCCTATCGCAGTCACCCATTCCTCAGCCTCTAACACGTCCCTGCCATCCATATCATTGTATTATGTAACCTTTCTTTTTAACTATGTTAAGCACATTGAGAATAGGTGTGCTATGAATATAAAATAAGTTGTTGACATGAGCACCGCTGTTGACAGACGCATCGAGGCTCGCCGAGGCAGTGCTCGAGCCACCACTCGACTCGTGGATGGTGACGCCACTGCCCTAGAGGTCGCCATCTTTTTATGTTGTATCTGTCACTTTCAACGAAGGGAAATCTGCGTAAATTGTCCTTCAACAAGTAAAGCCTCAATGAGTCACTTTTCAAATATTGTTTTGGGACGTTCAGCCAATTCCTCTTCAAATGGCGAAAACCACAACCCTGCAGCAGTTATTTTCGATTCAGACTGTTGAGGCCACCTGCAGTGCCCATGGAGGCCACCTGCTTTGAGTGGCGAGTCCCTGGCGGTGCACCGAGCCAGGCTCATTATTCGTGGCCAATGTTTTGGGCAAACTTCATTAACCCTGTGGACCTCTTTGAGACTGAACTTAAGAAGAGTGGAACTTAGGCTGGAGGGACTTTTTCAACTGCAACTCCGATGTCCTTTCTGGACTGTCTGGAAAGGACGCGCCAGGATTTGTTGGTGCTCAACTGTTCTGATATTCGTGTCTTTAAGGGTCACGATTATTTGGAGCTTGGTAGGTGAGTTCAACTTTGTTATGGAAAAACTTACGTCATCTCTGCGTGACGGTGGGGCTCGTGAGTTTGTGTAATTGGAGGGTAGCTGTTGATTGTCCAACCTTCACAGAAGTGTGTTGAGAATGAGATGAGTTGACACAAGATAAGTTGACAATAGGTTAGTTGAGATGAGGTAAATTGAGATAAGGTGAGCTGAGTCTTTATTTAGCTACTTCTGGCACCGAGACGTCTCTGCCTGGTCAAAAGTCAACACATTCCAGGGCGCGCCTCATGATATGCAAATCAAACTAAAAGAGTTTGTACTTTAACCTGCCTCACATTTATGTGGCTTGTTCCTAGTTTAGTGCCTCAGATGTCGCCAGAGACTGCCTGAGCTACAGCCAGAGACTGCGTGAGCTATAGCTAGATACTGCTGGAGCTACAGCCATTGACTGTCTGTGCTACAGCCAGCCTGCCTGAGCTACAGCCACAGACTGCCTGAACAACAGCCGGCGCCTATCTCTGAGTGGAGCCACAGGATCATGGCGAGTGCAGCTCCCAGTGGTAGCGAGGCCCCAGGGGAGTTGACCTGCCCCATCTGCCTGGACGCCTTCCGCTGCCCCTGCACGCTCAGCTGCGGCCACTCGTTCTGCCTCGAGTGCGTGGAAGACGCCTGGGAAGCGGTCGAGTCCTTCTCCTGCCCGCAGTGCCGAGTGACCTTCCCTCGGAGGCCCAAGCTGAGCAAGAACTTCACGCTCGCCAACCTGGTGGAGCAGCGCAGTGCCGCAGTTGAATTGGTCACCGTGGTCTTGTGTGACTTCTGCAACGATGGCACGACCGCTGCCACGAAGACCTGCCTCAGGTGTGATATGTCATATTGTGTGACTCATGTAAAGCCTCATCAGGAGAACCAGAAGTTCAAGGACCACATTTTGGTGGCTCCAGTCACGAATCCTGAAGAACGCAAGTGTAAGACGCACCGAGATGAGATCAAGTTTTATTGCCGACAGGACGAGAGCTTGGTCTGCACAACCTGCACCATCGCAGGAGACCACAAGGGTCACGATGTGGCTACGCTGGAGGATGAGCACAAGACACGGGAGGTGAGACGGTCTGCCTGTGTGAGTGGGAGCCCCTCCTGCGTGAAGTCATTTCCCAGTACGAACTGAACAATAACATCCAACTAAATATCATTCCTCTCTCAGCTGGCCTTTGTTCATTCACATTTTAACAACTTTAATTTAATATAAGAAATAATACAACAGAAAGTTATAATCAATCCTGTTGTTTGGCAAATTTCTAAATGTGCTCTTAGTATATTTTATAAAACTGAAGCACTTTAATGCGTAAAATGATTTCTCAAAATTACGTGAGTGCATAGACCGTGGTTTGTATGCAAAAAGTGGTTTGTGGTAGAGAGAAGCATTCCCCAAAATGAAAACGAAATGTAAAACGACTGGGACTGCGTGAGCTGCAGTGCTCAGTGCTTGGTAGCCTCGTGCCGGTCTGTACCAGTTTAGCGCCGCACTCTACAGCAGCTACCGGGTCACTGGACGTGGCGTTCCATAAATGTCGCGTGATTGTGACAGACCCAGTATTTTCTGACCGTATTTATATTTTCATCAAGATGCTCTCTACCGAATTTCTCCGACACTCAACAGTTACATTGCAGCCCTTCCTTGTGCCATGTAAAACTAAACTAAAACTTTTTTATTTTATCAGGTGAAGCTCACTCAGCTATGTAGCTCTTTTTCAGAAGCAAACCTGGCAACAAATGACAGCTCAAAGAAGTGGCTTATCAAGTCGAAATTCATAGCAGCCAAATACTCTAAACGCACGTTTCTAAATGTAGAGGGAAACCCGGAGGACCTGGACAAAAATCCATGCCACCATGGGAAGAACAATCTCCAAATATACAGGTGTCAGGGTCGGGATCGAAACCACGACCTCCTGTATACCAGGCAAGGCAGATTAACATTTCGCGGCGCCTTTTCCACCCATTACTCAGAGCCCTACTCACTACTCAGAGCCCCACCCACTGCTCAGGTAGCCCTGCCCACGACTCAGGTACCAGTGGAGAGTGATTGGGTCCACAGGCTTAGGCTCCTGCGCGTGCTATGTGAGCCCAGCAATAATCAGAATCAGATAGGGTTTTATTCGCCATGAAAGTTTGCACAGGCAAGGAATTTACTATGGCAGGAAGGTGCATATGTAAAGTAGTAACTCGGCAGGAGACGACTTCACGGGTAGCACACTATTTATTTTCACCAACTTGTAGTTACACGGATGACTAACACCCTACTTCGTTACACGGGTGACCAACACCCACTTAGCTACACGGGTGACGGACACCCACTCAGCTACGACTTCGTTACACGGGTGACCAACACCCACTTAGCTACACGGGTGACGGACACCCACTCAGCTACGACTTCGTTACACGGGTGACCCACACCCACTCAGCTACACGGGTGACCCACACCCACTCAGCTACTCGGGTGACTAACACCCACTCAGCTACACGGGTGACTAACACCCACTCAGCTACACGGGTGACTAACACCCACTCAGCTACACGGGTGACTAACACCCACTCAGCTACACGGGTGACTAACACCCACTCAGCTACACGGGCGACTAACACCCACTCAGCTGTACTGACACGGGCTCTTACGCCCCGTTGCCGTCCGGGACACACCCAGCCGGGGTGCCCGTCTCGGCTCTGGGTACCACCGTCCCGACCCACACGGGCGTCGGACTACGGTCCCCCCAGTCTCGGCTCCGAGCCACACAGGGCCCCTATCTCCTCCACCCCGTCTTCGGTCTTCAACTGGTTAACACTGACCACGAGTGCTCTCGCGCGTCCCCCTTTATACCCCTCCTGCGGACGTCGCTGAGAGTACCCACTTATCTGACCAATCACTGCGCACTCGCTACGATCCTCTCTTCCCAGCTTGTGTGAGCGCGCCTCACCACCGGCGCGCGCGTCCATGCCACGCCCACACTGCGTTCCCAACCCCGCGCCCCGTGATCCCTCACTGCCGGCGCACGTCAATACCACCACTACATCACCCCCTACCACATAGCTCGCAGCCGACCCGGCTGCTAATAAACCATACAACACCCCTTCACTCCCATGTGTGCCCCGTAACATAACACAACATGAACACCGCAATCCGCAAAACCCAGCAACCGCCCCACCCGCAACAAGAACAACATGCACAATCCGGCGAGTGGCAACGATACTGTGTATGCGGAAAGAGTAACAATAAAAAAAATTTCTTTAATCATTTTCTCTTCTTTTCTCTCCGACTCATGCAATGTCCCAATGTCCGAGCGTCCCTTGAACGGGACATTACCCCGGCAGAGGGGGGGAAGCCGGCAACGAAGTCGGGCTTTAACAAAAAAAGAATATATATATTTTTTTTTTTTTTTTTTCATGAAAAGTGTTGCGTCCTTGATCGAGTCCGCCTTGCCGGACCGTCGTACGGCACAGGACGCAGTTGGCCATCCGGCAGCGCCGGCAGTTCAGGGAGGCATGGGACAGGCATCGGGGCTCCGTGCGAGCCCCGGGGTTCCGGTTCCCGACGGTCAACAGCCGTCAGGTCCGAGACACCTGGGGGTGGGTCAGGTGGAGACACGTGAGGATCAGCCTGCGACACATCCCTCCCCGAGTCGACGGTCACATCCCACGCTCGGTCGTCACGGCACAACCCGGGGTCACGCGGCGCCGCGTAGGGTTTCAGTCGGGAGGGGTGCACGTACCAACGGCGTTTTCCCCATTTAATCTGTATACTCTGGGGTCGTGCAACCCGCACAATTTCCACCGGTCCCCTCCACGGTCTCAACAGTTTGGGGGACGTAGCCAACGGTGCGTGTGGACAATGCAGCCAGGCTTTATCGCCCGGTTCCCAATTGTGCGTACGCACCTTCCGTTCATGCAATCGCTCGTTCGCGATCTGCCGAGAGCGTGAATTCAATCTCGCAGCCTCTCGCGCCTCCCCCAATTTGGCGATGTTAAACTTAATGTGGTCTGCCAATTTAGATTTTGCACGTGGCTGTGAAATCCCCAGTTGGACGTCCATGGCCGGATCAGCCTCCCGCCCATACATCAGAAAAAATGGAGAAAACCCCGTCGCCGCATGGGGTGCCATCCGATAGGCCGCTAGTACCCCCGGTACCTGTAAGTCCCAATCCACCTGGTCGTCGCATACCTGTTGGCACAGCATAGACGTAATCGTCCTGTTCAGACGTTCAACCATACCGTCAGTCTGCGGGTGGTACGGGGAGGTACGTACTTTCTTCGTACCCAACAGGTCGCACACCTCGCGCAACAAAACACTCGAAAAGTTTTTCCCTTGATCCGTGAGCAAGCGTTCGGGGGCGCCTTTGTCCAAAACGTAACCTTGGACAAAGGCGTCCGCCACCGCCGCAGCCGACTGGTTGGCGAGTGGCCACGCCATGGGCCAGCGGGTGAAGTACTCTACGCCAACCAGCAGGAACTTATTTCCCCGAGGTGTGGTGGGAAAGGGCCCCAAGATGTCTAGCGCGACCAATTCGTTCGTGCGCGAAACTTGAATGGATTGAAGCGGTGGATTAGCCGCTATTGGTGGCGGTTTTCTTTTAGCGCACCCTACACACCCCTTAAGAATGTTCGCCACGTCACTGCCCATCCCAGGCCAATAGTAGTCTCGCTGAATGAGGGCGAGCGTTTTGTGAAACCCCAGGTGCATGAGTCGTTCATGGGCAGCCAGGACGACTTTACCCCGTACAGCAACCGGCACCACAAGCACGTGACGCCGGGACATGGAGTCCCACTTCATCAAGAGGCCCTGTCTGCACACCCAGGAACCGACCCGCGTTTCCCCGCCCTCGGGAACGTTAACCTTCCGACGTAGCGCGAGTAGGGAGCTGTCGGCCATTTGCAGACGGCCCCACTCGATGAGAGGCAATGCTAACAGCGAGTCCCTCCCCGTGGGGGCGTCGACCCCCGTCGTATCCGTGGCGGCTAGCACCACTTCCGCGGGAACATCGACAGAAGGTTTACACCGCGCCGATCCCAACTGACATGCGCATTCCGTACGCGTCGGCAACCGTGACAATGCATCCGCATTCGAGTGGCGCAACCCCTTGCGGTAAATCGTCGTGAATTGGTAGTCCTGAAGGACCTCCAACCATCGGGACAATTGGCCGGATGGCTGCGCCACCCGCATAGCGTATTGGAGAGCCGCATGGTCCGTGCGAACCGTAAAGTGACGGCCATACAGATACGGCCTGAATTTCTGTATAAAAAACACGATCGCCAGCAATTCACGCCGTGTCACACAGTAGCGTTGTTCCGCGGGGGACAGAACCCTGCTACCGTAGGCGACCACCCGTTCGACCCCCCCGACCACCTGTGAGAGCACTCCCCCGATACCCGTGTTACTGGCATCCGTGTCGAGCACAAACGGTTGCGTGAAATCGGGGTAACACAAGGGGGGAGCCTGCACCAAGGCGTCACGCAGGGAGCAGAACGCGGCCTCCTCCTCCGGCCCCCAGTGAAACCGCACCCCTTTAGCCGTCAAGGCGTGCAGGGGCCTGGCTATGGTGGCAAACTGTTTGACAAAACGACGGTAATAGGAGGCAAATCCTATGAAGCTGCGGACTTCAGTAACAGAGGTCGGTGTTGGCCATGAGCCGACGCATTCCGTCTTAGCAGGGTCCGTCGAGATCCCCGAACGGCTAACGATATGGCCCAAATACCTGACCGATTCCCGAAGCAGAAAACATTTAGCCGGTTTAAATTTAAGCTTCGCGGAACGCATCCTGAGAAACACTGCCCTCAGTCGCTGGAGGTGCTCCTCAAAAGTTCGGCTGAAAACGATGATATCGTCGAGGTAAATCAAACAGGTGTCCCATTGAAGGCCTGACAAAACCAATTCCATGAGCCTCTGGAACGTGGCAGGAGCGGAATGTAAACCCATGGGCAATCGGTTGAACTCAAATAGGCCTCCCGGTGTCCGGAAAGCGGTTTTAGGTTTTGATTCGTCATCGAGGGGCAATTGCCAAAATCCCGAAAGCAAATCGAGCGTCGAAAAAAACTGTGCTCCTGCCAAGGCATCCAGCGACTCATCCATCCTGGGGAGCGGATACGCATCGGCCATTGATATTTTGTTTAGGCGGCGGAAATCAACACAGAACCGCAGGGATCCATCCTGTTTTTTAACCAAGACGATAGGAGCACCCCACGGACTGGAAGAGGGCGCAATGATGTCGGCCGCCAACATGTCATTTACTGCTGACTGCACATGCTCCTTCTCGGCTGGACTGAGCCGGAAGGGATTCTGTCGAATAGGGGCCGCATCCCCAGTCTCTATGTGGTGGCGCAACAGGTCTGTGCAGCCAATGTCGTACTTGTGCCTGCTAAACACGTCAGCGAACTCGAGCAGCAAGCCCCTCAATGCACCCCTCTGCACACTGGACAAGGTACTGGACCCGGCACACAACGAGTCCAACCACTCCGTCCCCTCCTCACTTTGGGGATGCGTATCGACATGCGAATCGGCGTGAGCAACGAGCTGTTCCTCGACGGGCAGCGGCGCGGCGTGAGCGAGCACCGTTCCCTGCGTAATCACGGCCGGCCGCGACCCCGTATTCAGGACCACAACGAACGGCTCACTGTCCCCCCTCACCATGGTCTGGGCCACCGCTAAGTCGAGGTCCCCTTTAGCCCTGTTAGACGGCCCCAATAGAACTCCCTGCGCCCCCGCATCCGCCCCAAGGGGTTTTCTCAACCGAAGGGGCACCAACATTTGCGATCCCGGGGGCACCCGTACAGTCCGGGTTGCCAGCGCCTGCACCGTCGCACAAGCCGTGCGTATCTTATTTGGACTCTTCAAAAACTCAACCCGCCGACCCGATGGAAGCTCAATGCAGGCCTGGTCTATGAGAATTTTTATGGGCATCTTAGACAGAAAATCCGTGCCTAGTAAACAAGGAACGGCCAACGATGATGATACAAAAATAGGACCCGCCAATTTAATGTCGCCAATACAAATATTCGCCCGAATCTGGCCGATGATTCCCAAAGATCCCCCGTTTGCCGCGTAAAACGGTACGTCCACCGGCAGAAGTGGTCGACATTGTACGGGAAGAATATTATAAATCAGGTCCGAAATAATAGTGGCCGACGCACCCGTGTCCACGAGCACCCGGACCTCAACCCCGTCAATGTACCCCGTTACCACGGACGACCCGGCCGACGCAGCCACAATCCTGTGGGCTAATTCGGACCACTCGACTGCCTTCGGGCCGTACGCGGACCCCTCTCGCCGAACCGAACCCCCGGCGCCCATACCCGGTCCCCCCACCGCTAAGCGGCGACCCGAATGTGCCGTGCTTGTGGACCGAACGTGTGAGGTGCCGCGACTTGCCGGGTTCAGTTGGGATGTCTTGAGTCCCTGGGCGTCGTCCGGACGTGGTCCCGCGGTGCGTTGACGCGGGGCCCGGCATCCCGACGCGACGTGGCCCCGAAGGCCGCAGTTGTAGCAGACGACGAGGGACGTCGTGGGTTTCGGTTGCTCCAGCTTGCGGGAGGAGCGTGTGGGCGAACGACCGCCCGTTCTCCACTCCCCCGGCCTCGAACCCGCGAAGGCCTCCTCCCGAGGCACAGCAGGCTGAGGTCCGATGATCGTGGCGGCCGGTGCCCCGTTCTCCACCGATGCGCAGACGACCGTCGGCTTCCGCTGTAGGACCTCGTAAGCGTGGATACTCGTGGCAATCCCCAGGGAGCAGATGTCCATCTCGTCCGCCGTATTAATGGGAACTCCCAATCCGTGAGCCAGCGCCAGCAGCTGCTCCGTCACCATGGCGTCCTTCCCCTCCTTGTCCATACGGGGAAAAGCTGAATCTGCCAGGGCGAGCAGCGCCGTGCGATAGGCGAGCGTTGTTTCTCCAACCACCTTCCGCCGATCGTAGAACTGGTGGCGACAGGTCGAGGGCGGCCCGAACACCTTGGCCAACAGGTGCAGCGCGGCCTGGAGCGTGGAGCGGGACGACCTCGGGGCAGACGTGAAGGCCGCAAGCGCGTCGTCGTCGAGCATCGCTGGCAGCGCGCGCAGGGCAGTGGTGTCGGACCACCCCGACATTTCTTGATGCGCGATGAACCGTCGCTGGAAGGCTCCCCAGTCGCCCCCGTCCGCCTTGAACACCGACAGCGCGGGCAATCATTGCTGGAGAACTCGATCGTCGTCGTCGTCGTTGGAGCGATTTTCCCGCGCGCCGCTGTGGTTGTAGAAAATGTCGGCTCCCTCTGCAGGCGCAAAATGGAGAGCTCCGGCGCTCGCCGATGACGCGGGCTGCGCTGTGTGGAGACCTCTGGCCACGTGGTGTCCTCGTTTCCCGCCAAGCGGAGTCGGGCCCTCAAAAATGGCGCCAACTCCCAAACTTTTGGCGCGAAACGCCGTATGGCGGGAACCCTCCAGCCGCGCCGCCTCATCCAACCCCGCAGGCGTTCCTCCGGCCGCTGGAACGGAGATCTCCGCCAAGATTGCAGCGGCGGCGAGCAGCAACTCCGCCAGGCGGGAATGTGCGTCCTGCAGGCTGGTGTCGGAGGCGGGCGGAGCATCGGCCATTTCCGCGAAGTGCTGCATCGGCGGCAACTCCTCGTCCTCTCCTCCCGAGGGTGGTGTCACCGGTACGTCGTCGTCTCCCCGGTCTTGCACGTGGGAACGAGAAGTCTTCCTTGTGTCCATTTCTCCTTGAAGACAGGTTTACTTCTGACGCCAGTTGTAAAGTAGTAACTCGGCAGGAGACGACTTCACGGGTAGCACACTCTTTATTTTCACCAACTTGTAGTTACACGGATGACTAACACCCTACTTCGTTACACGGGTGACCAACACCCACTTAGCTACACGGGTGACGGACACCCACTCAGCTACGACTTCGTTACACGGGTGACCAACACCCACTTAGCTACACGGGTGACGGACACCCACTCAGCTACGACTTCGTTACACGGGTGACCCACACCCACTCAGCTACACGGGTGACCCACACCCACTCAGCTACTCGGGTGACTAACACCCACTCAGCTACACGGGTGACTAACACCCACTCAGCTACACGGGTGACTAACACCCACTCAGCTACACGGGTGACTAACACCCACTCAGCTACACGGGTGACTAACACCCACTCAGCTACACGGGCGACTAACACCCACTCAGCTGTACTGACACGGGCTCTTACGCCCCGTTGCCGTCCGGGACACACCCAGCCGGGGTGCCCGTCTCGGCTCTGGGTACCACCGTCCCGACCCACACGGGCGTCGGACTACGGTCCCCCCAGTCTCGGCTCCGAGCCACACAGGGCCCCTATCTCCTCCACCCCGTCTTCGGTCTTCAACTGGTTAACACTGACCACGAGTGCTCTCGCGCGTCCCCCTTTATACCCCTCCTGCGGACGTCGCTGAGAGTACCCACTTATCTGACCAATCACTGCGCACTCGCTACGATCCTCTCTTCCCAGCTTGTGTGAGCGCGCCTCACCACCGGCGCGCGCGTCCATGCCACGCCCACACTGCGTTCCCAACCCCGCGCCCCGTGATCCCTCACTGCCGGCGCACGTCAATACCACCACTACACATACATTCAACATGTAGGAATCTTAAAACTTAAATAAGTCGTATACAGTCTAACTATACTAAAATTACAAAGTCTAACTAATACTAAGGGGCTAAAGTATGTAACATTTTTAATAAGTATACAATATAAAATGTAAACTAGCCGTAATATACAATCTTAAAATACAAATAGGGTAACATGTTGTAAATATGGCAAGGTGTAATTTTGTAGATAAAATGTTAAAGTAAGTGTAAAAGTAATTTTAAGCCCTTGGCCTTGCTGAAGAGGCCAACAGCGAATGGGAAGAAACTGTTTTTATGACGTGAGGTTTTGGTCCTGATGGACCGCAGACTTCTGCCGGAGGGGAGTAGCTGGAACAGAGAGTGCACCAAACATAGCCAACCGTGCTTATCGGAGGTGCGGGGGAATGACAACTAAACACAAAATACTCCAGCAGGCGTGTGAGCTCCTCGTGAAATCGGTTTTCTGCAGTGCTCGCTACCCCAGCCTCCATTGCTGCACAGGGGTCGCTGCAGCCTGGAGATGAAACCGTCAGTGTGGAGGGGTCCGTGTGGAGCGGGGGTGAGAGGGGGCGCTCAGAGAGTGAGTGGAGTCTCCCCTGGTGACGTCTCTCACAGAAACAAGTGGGAGAGGAGACGCGGGCGGTGGAGGAGAAGAGGAGGGAGGCGGAGGAGTCCGTGAGGCGGATGGAGGCCGCTCGCAGAAACGTGCAGGTACCGCGTCTAGCCCGGACCCTGTGACCTCGTGACTCCACCCTGAGTAGGGTTTGTGATGGAGGACAACTCCATTCATTCACGTGGACTTCCATTGGCTCTGAACACATCGTGGGACTAAAGACACAACGGTCAATGCGCCTCAATACCCAGGACAAGCATAGAAGTGGTTCTCATCTCCAATGAGGAACTGAATTAGTCGTGGAAATTCCACATACTTAGGATGGGGGCCTGATTTTCCCATGTGAACTGCCACTTCATCTTCTGTTATTCATCTATTCTGGCCAGATGAGGTGGCACATACCTATTATCCAGTATATTGGTGGCAGGGTCCACATTATATATTTGTTTACAATATGTATCGCATTGTACTATGAACCAAAGTCACCTGAGATCAACTCCCTGCGATGACAAACATCAGTAATGAGTAATATCTGTAAAACCACAACCGCACAATACACTGAATGCACGCAGTGTGCTTTATGCAATTTACATATTCACGTAACCTATTCACATAGTACACTCCCATTCAGTATATTGCAATGTGCGATGTGAGCATTAAAGTTCATTTGAATTTAGAAAGAGTATCCGACAAAGCACAGAGACACTTCGAGGTAAGGTCACCATGTTGCATGTCCAGTTCTCATCGGTGCACCGATCTTATCACTGCTCAGTCACGAAACCCAGCTCTCGTGTCCAGTCCCAGCTGGGCATGTTTTGTGGTAGGAATACAGCTTGGAGGCGTTGCTGATCAGGCATCTTCAATTATGACCTTTTGCTTTGTCACTCTGCTCGCATTACACACACCTTGCGCAACTCTTCAAAAATATGGGGTTCATATTTAATTATTATTATTATTAAAATTCCTTATTTTTCTCATATTTGTCATGTACTGTTTGCGATTGAGTCCTGTGTAATTTGCAAGGTTATGATAGATGACAATTGCATTGTTCATTGGCTACCGAGGCCGGGATGCACAGGGGGGTTCATCTTCCATCAGATCATCGGGGTTACAGGTCATAACGTCTCCCATAGTGTGGGTTGCATGGCCACAGTGGCAATACTGTGGATTTATGTTAATGCATCTCTATGGGTCTCGATGGGTCTCTATGTATCTATGAGTGTCTCCATGGGTTTAGTATACAGCCCATAGTTTGGGTTGTAAGACCACAGTCACACTGCCCTATATTGACTCAAATGGGTCTATATGCATCTCTATTTGTCTTCATGTGTCTGTATTTCTATATGGGTCTCTACATCTGAGTCTCTATGTATCTCTATGGATCGCAAGGTATATCTATGTGTTTTTATAGGTTTACTTTATTGCCCATAGTTTGCGTTGTGTGGGCACATTCGCTTGTACATTTATGATTCAGGAAAGAGTGGTGTAAACGCCACCTCCCTAAGACATAGATCAACCATTGCGAGATGAACTCCTTCGTGAATTATTTAATAAAAATAAATCACACGCCCTGGCAGGGATCGATGACCGGGGTGAGGCAGCGAATCAATGGCGAGTTCGCCCGCATGAGAGCAGCTCTGGACGAGGAAGAGAAGGCGGCTCTGGCTCGTGCATCCAAGAAGGAGCGCGAGCTGCTGACCCAGATCGAGAAGAACATCGCTCACTACCAGCGCGAGATCGGCGAGCTCCAGGCAGCAGCCGCTCGTCTGGAGGTCCTAGCGCAGGAGAGGGACTCGCTCGCCTTCCTGCAGGTGAGCGATGAGTCTCCAGTGTCGCTATTTGCACAGAGCCCTCGGCAGCGTCAGAGTTGAGGCTCCTAAATGAGGTTTTCACGTCGACTGCGCTTTGTCACGCACGGCCTGAGCTTCCGCCCTGTCCTTGATGGAATCGTCCCCACTCAGATGATGTTTGCAATGTAAGTAAGTGTTGGTGCTCATGAGGTCATAAGCCAAGACTTTGTGGTGTATATTCTACCCGCGGTGTTGCAGTGGGAAATTCACAGATCCCATGGGAATGGAGGCAGTCACAGTAACGCACCTCTCTCTCTCCCACAGGGGCACCTGGAGGAGACACGCAGGTACAGACGACGATCACTCACGACTCGACACATGACAACATGGGACTGAGTGCGAGGCGCGGGCAGTGAGACACTGGCTGTGTATAGGGATGCTGTGTGTGTGATAATGCTGTGAGTGGTGGTGCTGATTGTGATGATGCTGCGAGTGATGATGCTGTGTGGTGATGATGCTGTGTTGAGATGCTGTGAATTATTGTGATGTGAGTGGTGATGCTTTGTGTGATGAGTCTGTATGTGATGGAGCTGTGATAATCTTGAGTGATGATTATCTTCGTGAGAAAGTAGGCGTGTCTGCTCTGCTTTCACAGGACCGGAAGGGTTACAACGTCTCAACCCTCAGCTCCCCGCCAAGAGGACATTGCCTCACTTAAAGTCCTGGAGACAACTACTGTCAAGTTCATGTGTGAGTTATTCAGTGTGAATCATGGGTGATGGGCCATCTTGACAACAGATGAATCTCGTGTGTGCACGAGGTCGACACACCCTCAAATTATTACCTGGTGTAGTGTAAACATCACTACTAGGGAGACAAACGGGGCCAGGCATAGCGCTGGCCGCCAACCCCCTCGTGTGCCATGCCAGCCTTCATAGATGCTCACGGACAGCACTTGTCCCAATAGTCTGCAAGGCTACACAAGGGATCTGTCTTTGTTCACATCCCATTCCAGGACCCTACTGAACAACACCATGAGACTCAGTGTGTTGTTCTTGTGTAAATAATCAGCATGAGTCAGGGGTAATTGTGATGTTGAGATGCAGTGAGTGCCTGTGAATGTGTTTGCGTGGGGGAGCGGTAGCACACTGCACTACAAACCCAGTTACCTGGGTTTGATTACCCGCCATGGCTAACATCAGTGGCAGGTGATATCTGATCCAGTCCTGGGCCTCTGCTAGGCAGTTTCAACCTCAAATTAGTTCCTGATGCTGGTAATGGTCATAATGATTGTGATAGTGGTCGTGATGAGGATGGTGGTAATGATAATGGTGCATCGGCCAGTCATCTCAGTCGACCCATGGCACCTGGGTCTGCCCCATGACTTCCTGCCAGTGGGCGTTCTACACTTCAATTGGCCTCAACGTGCACATAGCCTGGCACAGGCGCCGTGGTGACGTCACCACCACTTAGTGGCGAATGGCGGTTGTTGTCGGTAATAATGCTGATCTTGGTAATAATCAGTGGCGGCTGGTGATATTTATTTTTGGGGGGGCGCATTTTTTTATTTTATTGAGGGGGGCAAATAAATTTAAAGCAGTACCAAAAACCATTTTGACTACTTGAATATAAATTTTGATGATCTTTATTTACATTTCAGACCAAAAGAAGTACCAAAAAGCATTTTTCCTACTTGAACATAAATGTTTCTCTATTATATATACATTTCAGACCAAAGTACCAAAAAGCATGTTTCCTACTTGAACATAAATTTTGCTCTTCTTTCTTTCTGGCCAGCAAATTTCTCAACTACTCTCTGATTAAAGTCAGTCATCTCCGTAACAAGTCTCTTTTCCATGGACAGCAATGCCAGTGCATTCAGCCTCTCCTGGGTCATGGTGTTTCTGAGAAAAGTTTTTATTCGTTTCAAGGTTGAGAAGCACCTCTCAGCTTCAGCCGTGGTCATGGGTGTGGTAATGATAACTTTTAGGAGAGTCACAGTTTCGGAAAAGACTTCTTTGAGATTATTCTCCATAAACAGCTGGAATAGGTCCACAGCACCACGGCAGGCTCTGAACTCTTCCTTGCTGTAGATGAGACTGAGCTCCGTCTTCAGCTTGCTTCCACTGAGCATCGGGTACGCTTTCATGGTGCTGCTCAATGCATCTTCAGGAAAGGTATCCTTGTACTCATCAAACCTGTCCCCCTGCAACAAGGTGGCACAGACAAGGTGGTCTGTGAAGGAGAAACGCTCCCTAGTGTGTCCCAGGATTGTGTCACAGACCTATAGAGATAATTAAACAAATAGATATATAAATGTAAGGTAGTAGCCTGGAGTAGACCACTAATTGTCACAGTTGCAATTACTTTCAAAAGAAAAATAGAGCCATTTGAGTTTTTGTCCCATACAAGACTGTAGTTTTTGGTGGCTTCAAATTTCATTTGATCATTTATTTTTATGTTGCCAATTTATTATTTTTGGGATGCTATTGTATATTAAAATTGAGATTTTTGTTAGGATTTATACCAAACTAAAAATGTTTTCTTGAGTCTGTAGAATATGATATGTAGGCAGGACATCTCTGCAGCACAACAATAATGTAAAATGGTATTTTGACTGATTTCTATAACAAACTCACCTCTGCTGCAATCCTTTCACGGTCTTCCGAACTGAGCGCCCGGCGCCTCTTTGTTGGACGAGAACCACTGCTTTGCTCACCAATGGAGTGGAGAGAGTTTCTGCAAAGGACAAAGATAATTTATTATAATTTTGGCAAAGGATAAAGAGAGTTAAAAATGAAAGAGAAAGCAAATAATGATCATATTACAGGAATAAAGTTACCTGATCTTTTGTATTTCTTGTTGGAACTGTTGGATGCTCACTTTGATATGGACTGAATCAATGTTCTTTTTCTGGAGCTTGGCATAGAGGAAGTCTACATGTGGCATGATGTGGTGATAAAGTTCCAGAAAGAACTTAAAATCCTCATCCTCCAGTAGCATGGCCAGGGCTCCTGCTTCTCTGACAGTATTGGGGTCGAAGTCACCTGAGTCTTGTATGCTCTCAAAACAGTGAATGAGATCCTCTCCGTGCTCAAAAACAGTATTAATGGCACGGCTATGAAAGTTCCATCTGATGTTGCTGGATCTTGGCAGTCTATGGGCAACCACTTTATCCAGAAAACATGTCCGCTTGGGTGACTTAGAAAAAAAGCTGGCAAATCCACCAATGTTAGAAAAAAATATTCTCGTCTTGGATATGTGAGACGTGGCCTGTTGCATTATCAGGTTGAGCTGATGTGCGTAGCAGTGGATGTAGTGGGCATTTGGGTACACATCTTGTATTTTTCTCTGAACACCTGCTGTGGCACCCCTCATCACGCTGGCCCCATCATATGCCTGGCAGATGAGCTTACTTTTCTGATCCTTAGGAAGCATAGAAGCAAGACGCTCTTTTAGTGCAGTAGCAATGGACTCAGCTGTAGCTGACTGCAGAGGGATGAACTCAAAAAATCTTTCCTGCACGTTATTTTTGTCGTCGATGTAGCGCACCACAAGCACAAGTTGGGACTGTGTGGCAATATCTGTTGTTTCATCTGCCTGGATTAATAAAAAACTACTTGTCTGGACTTCTTTGATTATTTCTTCTCTTGTAACAGACAACATACAGTCCAGTAGCTCGTTCTGTATAGTTTTCGACGTTCCCTTAAATACAGTAGAACTGTCAAGGTGCTCTTTCAATGCTCCATCAAGAGAGGCAACAAAATCCACCAACCCGCGAAATATACCGGGGTTATCTGAGCTCTCACTCTCATCATGGCCACGTAACGCCAACTCAAATACTCCACAAAATTTCACACAGTCTATTATCCTGGACAGTATGTGTCGATTTTTTGTCACCTCTTCGTTGTGCCTTCTAATGCCAATCCTGTAGCCTTCATCTAGTTGTTCAGCAATGCTAACTCTGCCCAAAAACGTTAGTTTCATGCTATTATCAATATGGCTGCGGCTACTTTCATGACGTTTGCATTTGTCAGAGAGATGTTTGAGGTCTCTTACCCCCGTCGTTGTCCACAAAACTTCAGTGCCGACACTTTGAAATAAAAGACAGGGAAAACAAAAAAGAGAATTGCTAACATCACATCCAGCCAGCCACCTCCGTTTCTCATAACAAGCGCGGGTGAAGCTTCGTGTGTAGCTTCGTCCTCTGTCACTGGCCTGCTGCTGGATTTGTAAATCGGGTTGGTCCGGTCCGAGATCCTTTATCTTTTTTATTTCTTCCAGCGAAAGCCTTGTGAAAGGGTTTTTTTGTAAATAAATTACAGAATTTGGATGAACTGCTGCCATTGTTTACACAAAAAATTTGATCAGCCTAGCAAGTGTCAAAGTGGTGTCGCCTGCGCACTCGCAGTAGTGGCCCAGAGCGTAAATTTGAATAACAGGTGACGAGAACCAATCAGATTGGATAAAATAACATGTATCCAATTCTGATTGGCCAGGGACGCAACGACTTGCGCCCCGAGGAGAATCTTTAAGAAACCAATTAGAGACCAGCTTCAGGTCACATGCTGTCCGAAAATGTAAAGTCTCACATAGACATCCATTTGTCCGGCGCCCCACATGAAACACATTGAAAAACATAGAAAATAGTTGACCGATTAAAGCCAGTTTTTATTAAATGCTGATGCTTTTCTTACTACCAGCCGGCACATCGTATGAAAAAAATATTTTATTTATGTATTTTTATATAAATTTTGTATATGTATATTTCTTGAATATTGATGGGGGCGGCGCCCCTGCACCCTCTATTGACGAGCCGCCACTGGTAATAATGTAAGTGATGGGAATAGTGACAGATTTGGTGAGTGATGGTGTTGGTCGTGACGATGGTTTTGATGGTCGTTCAGATGGTTATAATGATGCTTTTTGAGTTGGTGATGAAATGTTAGAGATAGTGATGATGGGGATAGTGGTGATGATGATGATGGTTGTAATGTTGCTGATGGCGAAAGTGATGTTGCTGATGTTCATAATGTTGATGGTGATGATGTATATGTTGTTGTCATCAATTATATTGATGGCGAGGATGCTTGGTGATGTTTGTCATGTTATTGTTGATGGTGAAGATGATGGTTGGTGATGGTTGGTGATGGTGATGGTGGTGATGGTGGATAATGGTGATGATGGTGTTCTGTAGTGACGTTATCATCGCTGTTGTCACAGACGGACGCTCACCAACTCTGGACACAAACTCAGCTTATAACCAACTCCAGATCTCCTCGGATCTCAGGACGATGACAGCGGTCCAGGCCTCCCAGGGTCGCCCCGATCACCCACACCGGTTTGATGGCCGTGCACAAGCCCTGTGCTGTGAGAGCTTCTCGTCGGGCCACCACTACTGGGAGGTGGACGTGGGGGACGCGAGGTGGTGGCGGGTTGGAGTCGCGTACGGGACGATCCCACGGAAAGGGGATCGTGATGCACAGCAGCTGGGAGGGAACGACGCGTCCTGGTGTTTAGAGAAACGTGACGACAACTTCTCAGTGTTTCATGGTGGAGTGAAGACTGCACTGTCGGTGAGGGAGGCCCCCTCCCCCCGCAGAATCGGGCTTCACCTGCACTGGGAGGGGGGGCTTCTAGCATTTTACTGCGCCGACTCAATGGAGGTGATCCACGAGGTTCGGCAGAGATTCTTGCAGCCTCTCTACCCTGGTATGTGTGTGAGGTGTTTGAATGATCGATTGAAGATCGTGGATCTGAGTCGTGCATCCTGAGGATGAGGAGAGATAGAACCCCAATAAACGGTGGAGAGGGGGATGGTGAGGAGAGGGTGAAGTGAGGGTGAGGGGAAGGTGGAACGGAGGGTTAGGTTCAAGTTCAAGTTCATGTATTAGGTGTAGCCCTGTGAGCCATTCGGCTCTTGAATCGGGTGCAACCGCAACAAACAAAAAACTAAAACACGAACAAAAAACATCTTAAAGTGAATATGTAACTAAGTGCAAACAGAAATCCGAGAAAAGACAGCAAAATATTGCAGGAAAAAATCACCGTACACCAACGCTGTGTGCAAAAATCCCAGTGGGATGCAAGTCAAACAACCAACAACAACCACAAGACAACTTAGATTAAGGCCATCAGTATTACTTTGTACTACTAAACCAATATACTTTTCGAAATCACCAAAATAAAGCCATGAAAGCAATGAAACAGTGATCAAAGGAACTGTGACGGAATTTTCACAATAAATGACATAAACAACATGTAACCCATCATGGGACCTCCTTTGCCAGTACCAAAATATACTAATAGGGGTTTTTCCCCTTTTTTTCTGGCAACAAAACTGACACCTTTTGCAAGGAATAATGCTTACATTAACCACAATACTTGCAGTCAAATGCAAACAAAAAACAATACTCAGATGGTGTCGAACACCATATGAGACTAGGCTCCAAAGAAAGCTGTCTCTGGTGTGGACCAATCAGTTTCAAAGACAATGCATAAATTATCAGAGTATTGTTCTGTGTTTGCATTTGACTGCAAGTATTGTGGTTAATGTAAGCATGATTCCTTGCAAAAGGTATCAGTTTTGTTGCCAGAAAAAAGGGAAAAACCCCTATTAGTATAACATGTAACCCATTCAACGGTGGAGAAGCGGGATGGTGAGGAGAGGGTGAAGTGAGGGGAAGGTGGAACGGAGGGTGAGGTTAGGTGAGGGTGAGGGGAGGGTGAGGTGAAAATTGATGGAAGGGAGAGGTGAGCATGGAGGGGTAGGGTGAAGGGGGGATGGTGAGGTTCAGGTTGGCGGACATGAGAGGTGTCGCCGGTGCAGAACAAATTGCAGGTTCGTGTGGCCGCTCCTTGGCCTGCAGTGCGCGCTCACCTCACCACGCCTACTCATCCCTGCGATTCACCATCATCACCATCGTCACCATCACCAACATCATCATCACCCCATCATCATCACTATCAACAACAACAACCGCCATTCGCCACTAAGTGGCGGTGACGTCACCATGACGCTTGTGCCAGGCCATGTGCACCTTGAGGACACGTGAAGTGTCGAACGCCCGCTGGCAGGAGGTCACGGGGCAGACCCAGCAGGTGCCACGGGTCGACTGACTGAGACGACCGAGATGAGTGGCTGATGCAACACCTGTGCCCCCTACTGTGCCAACTTGCTGTGCTTTAGCCACCCGGCGCTCCGCTTGTTGTTGTGAGCGTCACTCCTCCGCCCTCCGTTGTTGTTGGAGGGCGACTGCCTCCAACTGCCCAGTAGCGTCCTTCACGAGCCTCCTCCACTGAGGCCGATCTTGACACCGCTGGTTCCAGTCATTGGCAAGTCCACTCAGCTCCACGTCCTCCTGTACCACAGCACTCCATCTCTTCTCGGGCCCGCGCCGCGCCCGTTGAGCCCCCTCGATCTGGCCGAACAAAAGCTGTTAAAGGCATGCGGTGGCTGGGTAGGCGGTCTACATGGCCCAGCCAACGCAGCCTTGCCTGCCGGAGTAGCTCAACGATGGGGCCTCGTCCAGATCTTTCAAGGATTTGTGATCTCCTCACACAATCCAGCCTAGTTAAACCCAGGATGGATCGTAGGTAGGCCAGCCAAAATGTTTCCAACCGGCGAAGATGCTCCATCAGGGGGGTCCACGTTTCGCAAGCGTAGAGAAGGGAGGGAATGGCTGTGGCCGAGAAGACCTGAAGCTTCGTGCGGAGCGAGAGACGCCACCTTCGTTGGTCGTAATATGCATCATGAGGGAAATGTGAGCATGAGGAAGACGATGTTTTTGCCACCCAATGGTGTGCAATGTACTGCTTGTCTATGAAAAGACGCCGCATCTCGTGATGCGTATGACAAAAAAAAATCCGCAGACTACCTGCTGGATCTCCTCTCTGTTTCAAAGAACAAATTTGACCTAAGGTCTTCGCTCATTTACCAGCTTCACATTCCCTATTGCCGTACAAATACTGGAGCAAGGGCCTTTGCTATTAAAGCCCCCAGGGTTTGGAATGCTATTTCCAATAAACTGCAACTTGAATCACTACCTATAAGATCTTCACTCAAAACTGATCTAGAGGAGTTGTACAACCCTAGCTGCCACTGCTTTTCAGTGGCCTGAAATCAAATGTATCGCTCCGGATGACCGCTGCAAAGTAACATCTTGTGTTTTAAATATAGTGTGCTAATCTTTAAAGATGCATTGAAAAATGTTGATATTCCTACCGATACTCCTGTAATAAAGGACTCTTGCACTGGGTCTGTCTCCGTTGTCCTTTATTGGTTCGTACAACTTGCCCGCACGGCGTCTCGCTCAGAGTCTCCTCCGTCTCCCGATCGGCAGCCCCACTGCTGCCGTCGCTCTTGCAGCCCTGTTGCTGGCTCACTATGCAGCCCCGCTGCTGGCTCGTTACACAGCCTCTCCGCTTCCCAACCTGCAACCCCACAGCTGCTCACTATGCAGCCCCGCTGCTGGCGCTCTGTCGCCTCCGTGCCCGGACACCGCTGGCCGACGGTGCCGAGTCCCAACCCTGTGGCGATCACGCCACTTTCCTTCTCCTGCCCCACGTGGCCTCCTTCTGTCTCTATTCTCACACTCTCCCCCCTAGCCCTTCCGGTTCCTGTCCTTAAAAGCTCTCTCTCTCTCCACGTGACCCTAACTCCTCCCACCTGTTACGTCACATCCCGCGAGCCCGTTTACGCTCACAGTTCCTATGATCACTGTTACATTGTTTTTGTAGCTTTATTTTGGTGATTTCGAAAAGGTTCTGGTTTAGCCATATTTGTTTGTTGTAGTACAGAGTTAGACTGATAATCTAAATTGTGTAATGGTTCTTATTATTTGACTTGCATCCCACTGGGATGTTTACATACAGCATTAATATACGGTGCTTTATCTGGAAGACTTTACTGTTTTTTCCTGGATTTTTCTGTTGCACGTAATCACTTTCTGATGTCTCTTGTTCAAGTTTTTGTTTATTGTGGTTGCACCCGATTCAAGAGCCGAATGGCTCACAAAGCTATACCTAATCAATGAACTGAACTGAAGTTAGCTCCCACACAGCGTTACGTAACTAATGTAAAGATAATGCCGCTTGACTGATTTGGAGTGAGACCTCTGCTGTTAAACTGGAGCCGGTCATGAGCACACTGCCCAGGTACAGGAAACTCTACACTCTCTCCACAACTGCCCCATCACCAATTGGGAGTTGTGGGGGTGGAGTGTCCGATGGTACAAAATACCCAGGCAGGTGCTTAGTTTTGGTGGGGCTGATGGTAAGGCCCCAACTCCCGGTGGCAAGTTCCAGTTTCAGCAGCAGCGTCTCCAACTCCTTTTCTGAGTGAGCAGCATTCACCAGATCATTGGCATACGTAACATGGTTGAGCAATAGGGAGTCATTCCTTGACCGCACCCGGGCATCGATCAGCCTCCCATTATATCTGGACCAGATGGAAATTCCTCCGGTACAGCTATTGAAGGCTTCACGAACTACGTGGTCAAAATAGATGTTAAATAATGTGGGAGCAAGAGGACATCCCTGTCGTATCCCAAGGTGTACAAAAAAAGGCTCTAACTCCCGGCCACATAGTTTTCCCGGGCCCGCTCACCATCATGAAGGTCCTTAATGATCGTGAGCAGAGGGTCAGGGACTCCGAAAGCACAAACAACAACCCAGAGCCCAGGCCTACTGATGGTATCTTAGGCCTTGACCAGGTCAATAAAGCAGAGGTGTAGGTCTTGTTGGAATTCCCTACACCTCTGCTGTAGCAGACGTACAGAAAATATGGCATGTGCAGGACCGCCCTTTCCTGAAACCCCATTGGGGCTCCACAAGCCTCTCCTACCTAAAAAGCCGCGTGGCTAGCAATGCAATTTTGAATAATCCTTGCCAGGACCTTTCCCGGCACACTGAGTAGTGAGATGCCCCTGTAGTTGTTACAGTCTGTGCGGTCTCCCTTCTTAAAGAGGGGGACCACCAGGGTATCCTTCCAATCCTGCGGAACCCGTCCAGTGTTCCAGACTATTGTTATGTCATGTAGGGCAGTCTGTGCACAAACGCCACCCTCCCTCAGCATTTCGGTTGGGAGATCATCTCTGCCTGGTGCCTTTCCTGGTCTCAGACTCTGGATCGCCTTCAGTACTTCTTCAACAGATGGCACCTCAGCAGGCTACTCGAGCACCACCGCCAGCCTGACACCGTCGTCGTCAGAGTAGAGGAAGCGATCCGGCGCCTCCTGGCTCCTTTCTACCATAGGGAGGTGTCAGAGGCAGCCTCCTTGTGCTCCTCTGCCCCTTCCCTGCTCCCCACCGGGTGTCCAAGCTCGAAATGTGGTCGATTTCTGGGTACCGCTCTCGTTCCCTGCTGGCTGGAGCTCAAGAGCGGTGAGCCCTGGGGTCTTCCTCCATTCACCCTCTGGTCTCTGGTGGTGACTGACACTTTGTTTGCTGCAGATGTTTCAAAATTTCAATCACCCGCTTTCCCTATGCAGGTGTATTTTCTTTTGCCACTTATTTGTACCATGTGACACAATACACTACACTACTATACTCTACACTACACTATACAATACACTACACTACTATAGACTACTATATACTACACTATTATACACTACACAATACACTGCTATACACTACGCAATACACTACTGTAGTGACTTGGTACGTCACTACCGTGTGAGCCTACACACACACGCGTGACGTCACTACCTGGGGGAGCGTCACTACCTCGCGCGGGTCTACACTCACACACACATGACACACATGACGTCCCTACGTCT